ACTCACCCTCAGTTTGTTCCAAACCCATATGATTTTCTTTTTTTGATTGAAGACACGAGGAGATGTTAGACAGGAAGTTCACAATACTCTTTTAGACACTTGAATATAACGCATTAGTCAAACAGACTACTTTTATGGTGCATGATAAATTTTTTTTATCATTATTTGATGAATAGGAAGTTCAAAAGAACAGCATTTATTTAATATAAAACATTTTGTAACATTACAAATGTCCTTTTTGTCACCTTTGATAAATGTAATGCATTCTTGTTGAATAAAAGTATTATTGTTAAAGTGTTATTAACTTTTGAATGGTAGTGAATGTACTGTCATAAGTTCTTTTTTTTTATGTTAAACTAAAACATATGCAAAAACGTTCATATATGTGTTCATAAATGCCCATATATAAGATTAAGAACATTCTTTATATTATTGTGCATGTGTGTGTGTGTTTTAGAACACATTCTGGTTTGGTCTGGGAGGATGCTGTTTGTTACTCATTCCCAGCATCATCTTATCTGTAAAACTCGGCAAATTCTACCGCAGGATGGACACTGAGGACGTCTATGATGAGTAAGTGAACACATACCTGCTGAATTTAGACTGAATCACCACAAGATTGCAGTATGTTTCATAGGTAATATCTGTGAAGTGAAATATGACCTAAAATGGATCAAGCATTTTCTTCAAATGCATCAAATTCAGAACTGCAACTAAACTGAAAATCTTTACCAAGGTTCAAGGAGGACTGTTACTCCACGTGTGTTTGAAACAGCCTTGTTTTCTTCTTTCAAGAGTCATCTTATGTCTCTTATATCCTCAATCCTGCTCTTATTTTCCGTATTCTCCTCACATTCTGATAACAAACCACTTTGGTTTTCTCCTCTTTTAATCTACATTCAAATGTCTTTGACTTTCTATCTTATCATTGCACATTTGAAATCTCAGATACTAAATAAATACTTTATAACTTTTTTTAACGGAAATCATGTCACTCTATAAACTACTTACATGCATTCAATCATTCATCTCATGCTACTTTTACAAGCGACTAATGTTTACCTTCACTGTTTCATTTACAGTAGTTTGGATGTTGTTGTCAGTGGTTATCATAGTGAGTCTTTATATGGCATAAACAACCCCGTGATGAGCAGGTAGAGTTTATTCCACCACTTCATCTCTGCATGATTAAATCATCAGTATTAGCTGACTGTCTATAGAAGTCAATTGTGTGCATGAACGTTTTTATGAGTATATGAACAGTATGTATGGACCCTTTTCACAGACTGACGCATTTCCATAATTATTAACATTATACATCTATACTTTGTGTTGCATCACCTTAGTATTAAATGACAAAAATAGAAGGTGTTTCTAATAAAACAGCTGAAGGAGTGACAGTATATTTGACACCTTTCTCTTGAGTGAAAATTACTTATTTGAAAAAATGCATGATATGACCAGCTGATTTCGCATATTTTGTTAAATATTATTATTTTTAGTATTATATATTTTGAACACTAATATATTCTATTATTATAATATATACACTATCCTTTTTTTTAGTAGGTTAAAAATTGAACAGCTATGTGTCTTTCATACTGTACATTACAATATTGCCTGAATGCACTTCAGCATGTAAAACTCTGGTTAGGGGTTTTTTTGTGTTTGTTTTAAACATAAAATAGCATGGCTGTCTATAATTGTATTGTTTCATTGGTCAAAGTATGAAAATAGTTGCATACATTTCTGTGTTGGTAGAATTGATCTGTTTCTATAATTCATTACAAAATTGTAGCGTTTTTCCTAACATTTAGGACTAAATGAAATGCATGCAAATAGTGAATAATGTAATAGCATGACATTTGTATCCCAGCATGCATCCCTATCCTTACAGATCCTCTGCATGACAGTTTTCTGTCATTTTTTTGGAGCTAAACAAAAGATGCCACACTGAGTTTAGATCTGATAGATTCCAAACTTTCAAAGTGCACCTGGGTTTTTTTCAGCTATCCATCCTATGACACAATGAGGTGGTATCCTCGGGCCTCAGCCCCCCCAAGACAGCCTGACTGGTGACACAGATTCACACACACACACACACACACTTTCACACGGGGTATGCAACTGTACATGCATCCTGCAGGTACAAAACCTTTCAGCAGCTCATCTGTTCGCTCTTTATTGACCTTTTCTGTCTTTGCATTGTTATGTCCATATGTCTCCTCTACAAACCCATTCGTTCACGTCAGTGCTCTTCTTGTTTTAAAGTTCCTACTCTTCTTATGTCTCAACTTCTCAACTGACGTCTCAGCTTTACATTTTCTCACTTTGTATTCATTCATGACCCGCCACCATACTCTAAGGCATTTGTTTTCCATCTTTCCACTTTTTCCACTTTCCACATCATTCATCGCTACACAGTCTTGTGTATGTTTCATATAGTCACTTTCAGACTCTATTCTGCTGGTGTGGCATTTTTGAATCCGTTTGAGAAAATATTTGGATTCAGATGATTACATGCTTATTTGCTCCATCATATCAGTTGAGGTGTTTACATGGACACTTTTCAGTCCGATTGAGCCATCAGTCCAATTATAAACAGATTATTTGGCTGCATGTAAACATAGCTATGTATGTTTCACTGTAATCATATGTGTTGTCAGTCTGATCGTTCACATGTTCTTCCAGTAACATGTCACACCGTGCATGTGGCTTTGCATGACTTCCTTTAACTCCTCAATCTTTGATTCAGTTATACCTTACTCTTCATCTTTGTATAACGTAAGTAATTGGAAATATTGTAATTTCTCTGAATTTTTAGTGACATTTTCTTAATTTTCTTCTACAGCGGTGCTGAGAGCTGGAACTAAAGAGTGTTTAGCAAGGTAAGACAATCACATTCTATCGTGTGTTACAGCACCTCAAGCTTTCATGACTTTAATGTATTTTTTTTTAGTCTAAATTTATGTATTTTTTTTAAATCAGAAATTGTCTTTCTTAATTCAGATTCCATGGATGACAACCGAAGACGGAAAAAAGGGAATATAATCTGTGAAAATTTATTTAGAAACAGTTTATTCCAGTTTCTAACAATAAAACATACTTCAGACCTTAACTAAAGAATTCCAAGCATATTCTACACACAGTTCATTGTACATGGTAAACAGAAATGTGTTCTTTTTATACACTTTCAACATGCTTTTGAAAGTTTTGTATGTATTTTGTTAATATCTATTTTATAAAACATGTCCTTTAGACATAATTGTGGGTACATCTAGATTTTGTATTGTCTTTTTAACATTTGATATAAAGGGGCAAGAAAGGTCTGTGTGTTGGTTATTGATCATGAAACCATGAAATGATGTTTCTGAACCAAACATCTCAAGTTTGAAGGTCCAAGCAGATTAAGTATTTACAGTAGAAAAGTGCTTCATTTATCATGTTAACTTTTCAGTTCTTCTGCGAAGTGTTACTTTTTGTACATTGTATTGTTCAACAAATGAATGAATCAAGTATTAGCTTAAAATTTGATAACTATGTTGAATGCACTGGAAAAGTCTCAATGTGTTGAAAGACAAATGAAGCCAATGTCCTAAAAGACTGATTGTTCCTGTTTGAAATGTCAGTACGTTTGATACAAGACAATAATTACACCACTAAAAACGAATTCCTATTATAGATCAGTTCATCTTTTTTTGTTGTTGTTGTCTTTTTCTTCTTTTGAGTGTCTTATGTATTTGATTTTCTTTTTGTGTTTACATCCATACAAGAAACTGAAAATAGTTGAATATGTCCAGTGTGTAATGTACTGTAATTTGTTCAAATACAGGTTTCAGTACAGCATATACAGTGGTAATACAATTCCACATAGTTCTCTATTGTACAAACCAAAGGTTTCTTATATTCCAAAAAGAAGGTTTGTGAATGAAGTGAAGTTCCAAATCTGTTATGGATACCCACAAATCCAGACGTCTGTCTCACGGCCTGCTGGGAGAAACTATGCATGTGTTCTTTGGCAGTGGAGCAGTACAGATCTCCAGGGTCGTGTTTTCACCCATGTTATGAGATTCAAAGGCACTTGTAACAAGTGTTTTGGATTTTTACAGAGCAAATCCCACTGGAACACGGAGGCTGTGTGAACATTACAATTAAACAATCAGCTCAACATGGTTTTGTAAAAGGTACAAATAAAATAATTACATTTATGTCACTTTTGCACCCTTTTTAAGCTTAACAGTTTTATTTTAGTATCATTGGGATATTATTATAGTTTTAATGACTAGTTTTAATTTATTTTTATATTTTCAATTTGCTATATATACAATATATGCATGTGTGCGTTTAGTTTTAGTTCTTTTAGTACATCAATTTATGCCAAATGAAAATGAGAAATGTTCTTTTTTCATATTTAGTTCAAATTTATTTATTTGTTTTTTAATTCTAAAACTTAAAAGCTCCAGTCATCATTCATTGTAATTGCATGAAAAACAGTGGAAACGATATTGTTCAAAATGTCTTCTTTTTGCTTTCCAAATTAAAGGAAGTCATTTACAACACATGCAATAACATTTTGTCAGTAAAAATCTAAGTGATTGCATCTCGAATGTATTTTAGCAGTTAATTCAGTCTATTTCCATTTTTCATTTAAAGGTTATAGTACAACAGTTAATAATCAATCAATTAAAATGTGTGAAATATAAATAAATGATGTCATATGTAAACATGTTTATAAACATACACTTAGAAAGAATATGAATATATGAAAGCTTTCTATCAAAGAATGATCTACTTTCTTCAAACTCAATATACAAACAGCTCAAGAAAGAAACAGTCAGGAACAGTTGTATCATTTGTCTTTTTCCATCGTTGTCCATTGAATTGAACAGTTCATAGTGGACTCTGAGCCCCACAGCATGACTCTCTCCAGCCCTTTCATTTATCAGCTGCTGATGTTCAGTTCCTCCTGAAGCTTTTCTATGGCCTCTTCCATGAGTTTGCATGCAGGCTTGTGCTTGGGCCAGTGTTTCACCTGACACTCTCTATAGAGAGAAATTCCAGACAAAGAGAATTATTAACAATAATATAACCTTGAACAAAACATGGCAAAGCCAAAATTAAAGGGCAATTCAAATATATTACTCTACTCTTCATCTAGTTAAAGGGGTCATATGATGCGATTTCAATTTTTCCTTTCTCTTTGGAGTGTTACAACTTTTTAGCAACGTCATTTGACCCCTTTAAGAATTTATTATTGACTTGTAGGGTTAAATCTGAAAAAGTGAATCATTTTGGCCCATGTGTTGTTATACCTGTTGCAATACCACTCTCCCTGACAGCGGGAGCAGCGTTTTGCACCCACTCTTCCACAGGCTCCACACTTGGGTTTGTCTGGGATTAGATTCTCCAGCACATCTAGATTATATGTTTGAGCCAACCTGATCAGAAGGGTGCAAATAAACAGTTATACAGTATATATGCATACTGTTAAAACAGCATTTTATAACTGCTCCTCATCACTTCATCCCTTATGAAAGACATTTACAAATAGACATCACATCTCACCTGCTAGCTTGCTCTCTTAATTCACTTTCAGAGGGGTTGAAAACATGTGTCACTTGGTATTTAGCAATGGCTTTCCACTTGCTGCTGTTCTCCGTTACAATATTATTCCATATCTCTGGCACCTAAATGAATGAAAATTGTGTTTATTTGAAACAGCATTTGTTTGAAAAAATATATAAATGTAATATTATGAATGGAATTACTGTCACTTTTGCTCATTTTAATGCAACCTTGCTACATAAAAATATTAACTTTTTTAAAAACAAATCTTACCGACCCCAAACTTTTGAATGGTAGTATATGGGTGTGTGTTTGCTGGAATACCTGCTCCAAGATGAGATCTTTTTTAGGGGCCGCTGGATCTGTGACAGTAAGTTGACTGAGAAAATGCCTGAGATCAAGTAGATTCGGTAACTGATCTATAACAACGTCTGTCAAAAACCCACGAAGCTGCATTGAAAGAATAATAATGATAGATCACTGATATTGAATAAGATATGTTTGTAAATTATTCCATTCCTTTTTTACTCACAATTTGTACAGTGTCCCAACTTTTTTGGAATTGGGTTTGTAGATAGATAGATAGATAGATAGATATTAAAAAAACAACTTTTGCCCCGTGTAAAGTCTTACCTTTAAGAGCTGTGTTTTGTTAAAGCTATTGAAATCATATTTCCTTTGGCAGTCTGGTTTGAGTAGCAGGTTCAGTAAAGTCATCCACACCTGGCCGTCATGTTTACTCAGCTTTAGCTGATCTTCAGGCCGGACGGTTCTCCACTTCCCCTCTGTGTATTTCTCCAGTGTTCCTACACCAGAGAAAAAGACTAGACTATGCAGTCAAAAATGTTACTGATAAACTCTTTTCCCTTTTCTAATTTAAGTCTATGGAGGTGTTAGAATAGATTTAAGCAGGCTTTCATAGAAATGACTAAAAATATGGTAATTCCAGCATGCTACTGAGAACATGAATTTCGTTAATAAAATGTTGTACCACTTTGAGCATATTTCCTGATAAACGTGCTGCTCATGGAAACATTTGATCTACTCCTACGAGACACTGTGTAAAGCTGTTCTGTAATTTGATTTATATATATGTAAGGTGGGGTTATGTTCAGCTTTCTGTTTCAATGTGTTCTCAGTGTGTCTGATTAATGATTACATTCACCTGTTCGGTTAATTATCTTGTCAGTTCTCCCTTAGTATTTAAGCCCTTAGTTTTCCCCAGTTCTTGGTCTGTTCTCGTCTATGTTAAGTGGTTGTTGTATTCTGTTTCCTGAGTTTTCCTTGCCTGTTGGATTTATTGGATTAAAGACTGTTTTTGCTGATTTTCTTCATCCTCATGCGCTTTGTACAGCCATCTTGTGACAATATAACACATGCTTAAAACACAGTACAATTGAGAGACTAACCTCTGTTCCAGGGGCAATTTTCCACCAATTGTACCAGCACACAGGGCATATTATGAGTGCACAGCATCCTCGAGAGCACACTCAAACTCAAACTACATTAAAAGGGGATATTTCAACATTCAGTACTAGGCATTTGTTTTAAAACGTTTTTTTAAATTTGTATTTTAGAATTGATCTGCATTTAATTTTGTTTTATGTGCAATGTGTAAAGGAATAGTGTTCACTCAAAAATTAAATTGGCTGAAAATGTGTTCACCCTCCGGCCATCCAAGAGTTTGTTTCTTCATCAGATTTGGAGAAATGTAGCATTGCATCACTTGCTCACCAGTGGATGCTCTGCAGAGAATGGGTGCCGTCAGAATGAACAGTTGATAAAAACATCACAATAATCCACGAGTAATCCACACCACTCCACTCCATCAGTTAACATCTTGTGAAGTGAAAAGCAGCAGGTTTGTAAGAAACAAATCCATCATTAAGACGTTTTTTTACTTCAAACCATCACTTCTGGCCTAAATACTAGAAATACTTGAATACTTCCTCCAGTAAAAATCTCACTCCTCTGTTGTCAAAATCCACCCACATATTTGTTCAGAACTGTTTTGGTCTGTTTTCACTTGTAAACAGAGCTTGATCTGCGCATATATCTCTCCTGATTCAGACAAGACAACATTTTCACTAGAAAAAGCAATATTATGAATAGAGATCTTGTAATTTATCCGAAAGTTAAATGGTTTGAAGCCAACAGTGCTTTTCACTTCACGAGATGTTAACTGATGGACTAAAGTTGTGTGGATTAGTTGTTGGACTCTCATTCTGACGGCACCCATTCACTGCAGAGGATCCAATGGTGAGCAAGTGATGTAAAGCTAAATTTCTCCAAATCGCTTACAGAGAAGAAACAAACTCATGTTGGTTGGAGTAAATATTCAGCACATTTTCATTATTGGGTGAACTATTCCTTTAATATGGTCTCTTTAAAATAACCAGTATCTTAAATACCTCTCAATGTGATCGGTGATGTAGCACAATACTGACAGAGCCTTGACAGAGATTTCAAACTCTAACATGTCACTTTGTCTTTGCAGATCCTGCGAGAAACAGTGTACAAGTTCTGGTAAATGTAATGTAAATGATGCTAATGATAATGAGGTAAAATTACATTTTGCTGTAATGCTCAAAAAGTGTTCTTCACCTGTACAGATGCCGTGTCTGACAGCTGCGCGTGTGTAATTCGGTCCTCCGTTGGGATCTGTCCAGAAACTGAGCGTCCCGCCAGCAGTGTGAGTTTGCGATGACAGTAATCCAGTAAATCAAGTACACTATCACCAGCAGCCTCGCTGGACTCCTGCATGTGTAACACACACATCAACATTTAGCCATTTTTATATTGCTATCATATTAGAATGTGGTCTTAGTTTTTTCGACTATCTACTTTTGCTGCATTTTTTTTTTAAATGACACATTCAGATATATAAAAATCTACATCTCAGAAAAGATGTGCTTACCTTGTGGTACATAATTGTTTCCAGCAGGTTTATGATGGTAGCTTCATGGTGAATCTGGAATTAGGAGAAAATGCAATGACACAAAGAGACTGGAGGAAAACGTATTATAGCCTGGCATGGTTTGGAAAACCTGGTCATTTGAAGCTGAGGCCACTTACCACCATGTAGAGAAGAAATGTGCTCTTCGGCTTAAAGTCCTGGAGTTTGCCAATTATGGGAAACACTTTATGTTTCCAGACTTCTGTAAGTATCATTGCATGCACCAGTGTGGGTATCTGGAAGAAGTCCAACAACAGCATGCTCTGTATGCTAAAAAACTGCTTTTTTACATCATATTTGTGAAAGCGTGGTAAGATGTGCCAGTGGGAAAGTTAATCGATGATTAAGCGATACTTTACCATTTAAAAAATTGGAGTCGTTAGAATTTTTAAAAATGTTTTTGCTTACTAAAGTTGCATTTATTTGATCAAAAATACAGTAAAAACAGATATATTTTTAAAAATCATTTTAAAGTTAAAAATTAGTTTATTATAGTGGCGGCAAACCAATATTTTCAGCATCATTACTCCAGTCTTCAGTGATTTTATATATATATATATATTGGGGGGGGGGAAAGTCGTGGCCTAATGGTTAGAGAGTCGGCCTCGTAACCCAAAAGGTTGCAGGTGTCACATGTCACTTCATGTATATATATATATATATATATATATATATATATTTTTTTTTTGTGTGGAAACCTAAATACCTTTTTTTCAGGATTCTTTGATTAATAGAAATGTAAAAAGAACAGTATTTGAAATTGAAATCCTTCGTAAAATTACAAACGTCTATCCACCTTTTTCCTTCAACGCGGAAGTAAGCCTATGTGCGAGACTTCCGGTTCATTAGCAGCTATAGGTAAATAACGAGGAGAATAACAACGTGCAGTAAACTGTAAAACTGTTTGAACTACAAACCAGTGTGTTCATAATTAAGATAATACATTAAAATAATATGATAAGACACACCAACTTTCAATATCAGGCAGCAAAATGAACTGTTTTGTTCAGCTAAAAATAGCTGGACGGAGTGGACGCAGATGAGACCGGAAGCCAGACCCATAGAATTTACAAATGGCCGCGCCCATTTTTACGACAAGGAAAAGGTGGATACTGTCACTTTTCATCACATTTAATGCGACCTCGCTGAATAAAATAATTACCTTTCCAAGAGAAACGAACAGGTCTTTTATGAATTCCTCCTGATTGGCACTGGCATTCAGAATAGCTTGCATATTCAGCTTCTCAATGTACTCATGTTGGCGAAACCACCTTTACACACACACACAAAACAAACATAGACGGAATGCCATCGGTGTACGTTACTTCAGATGAACCTCTTTATCTTAGTGTACCGTTACTTTTATATGAGATATTCACGTAACTTACCTTGGGCTTCCCATCTCGCGCATCGCCATCTTCTCCAGACTCTGAATATAACCTTCGGCTTCTCCGTGCAGAAGTACTGAATCCATCGCTTTTGAACGTCCTCGACTGTGAAACGTAAAGGTTTAATGTTTTCGTCTACGCTTTATTCAAACTCAATAAACAGCGCGGACAACACTTCCTGTTTCGTCTCTATGGTTACAGGTACACACTGAGTGCGGAAGTGACGAGATCTAATGCCGCGGCTTCTTTGAATGGCAGCTTTCCAAGATTTTTATTTATTTTTTTAATAATGTTTATTTTTTTATTTTGTTATTTTTTTTTGTTCCTGTAAGTTGTATGATTGTAATCATGTGAATAGGTTGTGTTGTATCTATATGTTAAAATCTTTTGTTAATCTGTTTGAAAAAAAATTAATAATAATTAAAAAAAAGGCAGCTTTCCAAGAGAGATAGTGAAAATGGTCATTCAATGCAAACATTTAGGAATTATACTTGTACGTTTTGTTTATTGTTAGCTTGTTATTCAAAGGCCCTAGGTTTCATTAGCCCTAAAAACGTGTGTACGTACATTTTTAAAATGCTGTTTATTTTTTGTCAATCGACATATATCATTTTAATATATCTTTAAGACTATAATTGATGTTTATTTAAGGTTTACTGCTAGAAAATGATCAAATCAAGGAAAGCAGGATTGAAACGTGTAATATTTTGACATATACTTGTATTTTAGAATTGATCTGCATCTTAAATTTCTTAAATTTGTTTTATGTGCAATGTGTAAAGGAATAGTGTTCACCCAAAAATGAAATTGGCTGAAAATGTGTTCACCCTCCGGCCATCCAAGATGTAGATGAGTTTGTTTCTTCATCAGATTTGGAGAAATGTAGCATTGCATCACTTGCTCAGCAGTGTCAGGGACATCCTGAGATCTTCTGAAGGTCCTGCCCTTTTTCTTAAGTCTCCTAAATAAATCACTCAATTCTACTAGTTGTCTACTCTTCACTGCCATCATTCTTCAACATTTTAATCTTCTCTCAGTGCATGATTCCTCACTCTACACTTTAAAAAATGCTGGGTAAAATAGGGACAAACCCAGCAATTGGGTTGTTTTGATTTTACCCAGCACTGGGTTGTATTTAACCCAGCATTTTTTAGAGTGTATTAAGTACATCTGTATCAATTTGTATTTCATTAATAAGCACTGTTTAGTTTTTGATCGCTGTTCTAAGTGTATGATTTCCAGAATCAGAAAGAACACACTCACATTTTGTGTGTGTGTATATATATGCCTTGAGTTGTGCTAAAAGAGTTGATTTGAAGTGTAGAATGCTACACATGCAGTTAATGTACAGAAATGTGAATTTTACAGCATGTATGTATTCTTTAAGACAATTTGTGAAGCACACAAATGCACAAAAACGTCTATACCAGGGGTGCCCAAACTCGGTCCTGGAGGGCCGGTGTCCTGCAGAGTTTAACTCCAACTTGCCTCAACACACCTGCCTTTAAGTTTCTAGTATGCCTAGTAAGAGCTTGATTAGCTGCTTCAGGTGTGTTTAATTGGGGTTGGAGCTAAACTCTTCAGGACACCGGCCCTCCAGGACCCAGTTTGGACACCCCTGGGCTATACACACTGACTTTTATTCTACCACTGTTTCATGATTTCCAATGTTTACATAGCTGATCTTTGCAATAGCTAAAAGTAGATGTTTACAAATGAGAATTCCCCATGACTCCTCATAAACCATGTCAGAAGAGTACATGTTGTACTTCACGTAAACCAGACGTTAACCACATTGGTTGAAGTTGACAAAACAAATGGGTTCCAGGTGAATTACTCTCCTTGTTCACATCAATAGTCAATAGCCCACTTATGTTCGCATGTATGATTATATAACGAAGACCATGAAAGTAACCACACCCATGTCCTTCCTCTCAAACCATCAACACACACTCAATGAAGAAATTAACCACAAAACCATCTACACAAAACACGACTTTATGTTTTGGTGGCTAAGTCACAAGAATTCTTTCATACGATCTCATTTGAACATTTTTGTACGATCTGCTTATGCCCCAGTGATGTTTAAGTTCAGGGGTGGACCGTCACACTTATTTTTACCTAAAAATGTTGAGTTTTTATTGTGTACCATGTAATTTTGTTCATGTTGTTCATTATGCTTTCCCATTAGACTGGGTTGCAAATATCATGCCACACAAAACTAGACCGGGCCTTTCTTTTTCACACTCATGCAGTCTCAGAATCACTTACACACCGATCCCATCTAGACTAAAGTGCGCACACACACTTCTCCAAAGATTCCTACAATTAGTTCTTTCAGGCAGCTCTAGACTGGAGACTAGAGGCCCACCAGTCTGGAGGGATGTGTGCAATCTGCCCTGCTTAAAGACCCCTTTGTGGGACTTGTATTTATAAAGCCAGCCTGCACCCTTCAACACCTTCTGCTCAGTCTCTTCTACACCTCCATCATGAGAGCCGTATGCAGTGCCGCTGTCCTTCTGGTATGTTTCATTTGGGCCATCAATGCTCAGGCTCAGAACAGCAGTAACCAGGCGAACAGCATCAACCACATCGAAAGCACCCAAAACAGTCGACAGCAGCAGCCGAAAGGAAGTATCTGGGATGAGCCCATTCGTTTCAACACCAAAGCAAAAGATAGCTGCGCCATGGTGATCTCCGGCCAGACCAACTTCACCAAGCTGCGTGTCTCCTGCAAGAGCAAGGGCAAGTCGTACTGGTGCGATTTCCTGGGCAAGCCTAACCTCTGCAGAGCGTATAACAACAACCCTCGACACTACTTCACTCAGATCATGTGGGACATGAGGAAGCTCCAGAACGCCTGCCAGGGACCACAGGTTTACAAGCCGCACATGTGCCGCTCTGCTTCGGATGACGTCCAAATGGCGTTCCATGCCTCTTGGCCCAAAATCTCCTTCCCCAAACTGACCCAAGCTTCTCAGAACCAGCAAAAGCAACAGCAGCAGGTCAAGTCCAGCATCACGCCTACCAAACCTCCCAGCCAAAAGCAGAAGCCTAAACCCCAACAACCAGCCTCCAAACCAGTCAAGCCCGCCGTTTCCAAGCCTGTTCCACCACGTAAACCTGTAAAGACCATCACAGCGAGACCCACCGTGGTGGAGGTGAGTCAAGCAACCAAGATGGCAGAGGAATACTGCTGGAAGAGTCTCCAGGGCGTCTGCGCATACTTCATTAACTGGTTCCAGAATTAATTCATCAAAACCTCTGGTAAGCATATCATTTTATAGTGAATAACCAATCAGTGCTTATGTGGAAACTTAACTCTAAATCATATGTAAGAAAGATCTACTACTGCATCTGACTGTAGCGTAAATTAACTAGCTACATCACTCTGATGTACAAACTGCAGGTATTTTACATAAAACTAACTCCTGTAATTGTTAACTTTGGCTTGAGGACTAGTACAAGACTAGTACAGTGTATTCAGGAGATGAAAGACTGTAATTCAGAAGCTTTTTAGTATGAAAAGTTTGCAGTGGAAAGCAAACAGATAGAGTTAGACACAAATCTAACTCAAAGAATCATCAACTGCTGCTTTACACCCATATCCAATACCTGCCTAACCAAATTTGAACAAGATATTTATGTTACACCTCCACACTTTTCCAAAATAGCTCAAATAAAATTTTTTGCAGAGGTAAAAATGATTTCTGTCCATTAGTGTTCACATTTTTATCTTTTGATCCATTTTCTCCTCTCTGTAGGTCAACAGTGTCAGAGACTTTTTAGATTGTCTGACCACCAGCCAAGTGTTTCCTCCAGAGACCAGGGCTCTGTGTGTGTGTGTGTGTGTGTGTGTGTGCGGAAACGTGGTTATGACTGGTTATGTGTGTTTTTCTATGCGAGTCAATGTACGTGCAGGAACAACAGGAATGAAAGAAAGAAATTTGTAACATGTTTAATTAAAATATGTCATATTTCTTAATTCTCTGTGTATGGTGTCTGAACACAATCATTGTTTTAATTGTATTTATTTATTTAATTTAGTATTTATTTATTTGCTTGCTGGTCTCAAGAAACCTAAATCTGAATCTCACGTTCTCAAATAGTTACACATTAATTTACAGCTAATTTATTTTCAGAAAACAATTATAATCTGAGTTGATGTAATCTGATTAGCAAAGATTCTACTAAATAAATATTAATAAACAAAAATCAAAAGTCATTAAATATGATCAGAAATCTGTAGAATATGGGGAGTTCCAAACCCAACTGAAACAAGTATGATTTTAGTTTCACACGACATGTCAGAGCACATCAACACCACTAGAGGGCAATATTACATGTCATTTAAAAAGACTCAAATTAAATGTTTACAAAATTAATCAGTTTTGGTTCCCATTGACTTCCACTGTATGGACAAAAACTACAATGGAAGTCAATGGGAACCAAAACGGTTTGGTTACCGACATTCTTCAATATGTCTTCTGTTGTGTTCAGCAGAAGAAAGATATTAGAATGACATAAGGGTGAGTAAATGATGAATTCAGAATTTGTATTTTTGAGTGGACTATCGCTTTAGTTCATCTGCTATAGCAGGGGCTAATGGGGCCATGCTAACCAGCCAAAACGTAAACCCTAGCTACAAAGACAGACTGGAATTTCTAAATGTCACACTGCCTTTTTTATATATAGGCTATAGTGTATTCTATAAGTTCTCTGCAAACATTTAACCAAAAGAAAGAAGAATGCATGTATTTGTATTACAAAGAGCTCAAATCCCTCTAGATCCCTGTAATCAAAGTGTTATGTTCTGAATATGTTGCACAGCTGGAAGCTGACACCCCATGCCTAACACGAACACACCCTCCAGACGCAACTCATGCTTTATGTTGCACAGCATTTTCTGCCTTAAGTTCCCCACGGCCTCTTAAGGCTCATGTGCCACTTCATTCATTTTTATAATTCTATATCATTAGCATGGTCACTAATATTATTATTCAAAATATTCATATATTTTCTGTGTAACAAAGCAAATTTGCAAAAACCTTGAACCTCACAGCTCAGACCCTTCCTGTAAAATGGGTCATAGTGGAGCAATGGTCACAAAATCAATAAGCACCAGATTCATGAGCCTGATTCTCCACCAGACACATTCACATGCAGTTTCTGTAAAAAAACATCACACTCACAATCATTAACACAAACGTAGCTTTATCAGAGTGTGTGTGAGATCATTTCATGAGTGATAACCAGCGCTTAAACTTTGCTGTAACAACAAAGAAATATTCCTTGGTTGTAAAAATTTCTCTTCATCACTTGATCCCTTGGTAAATAAGTAATGAAGATGAACAAGGAAATTGGACTTCCATGAAAGACTCATTGTTCATAAAACTCCAGGATGCACATCCCATGCAAAAACATGTGAATGTAAAGACTTGGTGTAAACGAGTGTTATTTAGTAGCATTATACATATGTACTTATATATATATATATATATATATATATAAACCATCGCATAAACACATGTGAAGACAATATATGAATATACAAATAGAAATACATTTTTAACCGTCTCAGTCCAGTGTTCTGTCTCTCTATACACCATTTCTAACCACCTTTCCCTCAAAAGTGACCTAAATTCATTAAGCTCTAGTTAACATTCCTCAAGTTACTAGATGCACAACACCTCAAGAAGACAAATAGAGGGTCTTTGCACAACTGTAGGTTTACTAATACTTATTTTCCACTAATAGTGTGCAGATAGGCTGCAAATGCAATAGGAACAGTTAATAAAGCACATTAAACTGATATAGAGAGTGGCGATTCAGCTATGAAATTAGGCCATAAAGACACAATGAGAGGGACCCCTACCACATGAGTGCACACTCACAATGACCCATTAACAAAACATTTTTACACACCAGGACATGGTACACAAGCATAATGGTGTTAAGTATATGCAGCCCTATAGCATGTCTAATCACATACATGGAATTCAGGAACAGGTTTTGGTCTTGTGAGGCCCCGGGGGAACCAGCTGCTTGGAAGCGCCTGCACCCAAAAAAATCCCACACATTCATGCACTTTGGAGAGAATGAATAACTTTTGCTGGCCCCTCTTACTTCTGCTGCTATCTGTCTGTCTCCTCCTCTGCTAGAGGCCAAAAATGTCAAACGGATTATTTCATAATTGTGAACTAAAATCTAGCGTAGCGCTAGTTCTGGCAGGTCACGTCAATCAAACTCGCATCAGCTGACTTTCAGCTGATACCCATCAACCTATGGGAATACGACACCTATCTAAGCATTCATATATAAGGTCCCTCAGTATTATCAGCAGTTTTCGCATTGCTCAATAGCTAATTACCCTCCTCCATCCCCAGCTCCTCCTCTGTCAGTCAGGATTCAGCCTTCTGATTCTCCTTTGAATCAGACTAATTCTAAAATGTGTACATAATATTATTGAACTTTAACGATATCTGCAATACATTTATTGTATTGTATTGTGGGGGGGTATCGCTGCTCTCCCTGCTCTCATCCATGCTAGGCTGCATGAACCATACCGCCAATCCAAACTGTATGCTAATTGTCAATCATCTTTGACGATAGTGGTCCTGGCAGAAGTGTGATATTTACATGCAAATTGCAATGATCATGTATTTTATTAAATTATTAGCACCCATTACAATGCAATATATTTAAATCAGTTTTACAGCTGCAGTACCTTGCTCTCAGATCCCCACCCCACCCCACACACACACACACACACACACACACAGGTTTGTTTTTGTGAACAGACACCCCATAGGCGTGGGGACTCTCCATAGGCGTAATGGTTTTTATACTGTACAGACCGTACTGTATATTCTATTGCCCTACACCATCCCTGCCCCTAAACCTACCCCTCACAGGAGACTTTGTGCTATTTCAGATTTTCAATACACTCCATTCTGTGTGATTTATAAGCGTTTTGAAAAGTGGGGACATGGGGTAATGTCCTGAAAAGTCACCTTCTCCTTGTAATACCTGTCATACCTTTGTCATTATACAAATTTATGTCCTCATTTGTCTCAAAAACGGGCGCGCGCACACACACACACACATACACATGACTGGCCTACAAAACATGGCTTATAAATTTCTCATTGTGCTATATTATTGACAAATATTTGATTCAGTCTTGGCTTCTTTCATCATTATGGTGAACATTTCCAAAAATTAGAAAGGATTTCCAAGGGTTAAAAACCCCTCAGGCCCATGACAGCTATGTAATTCCTAGCTTTTAGTTCAGCCCCATCTAAAAATGCAAATTTATGACTGACGCAGGCAGTGGATTCCTGCATGTGCAGGAGCTCATTAAAGGGCTTTTCTCCTGTGAGAGAATCTGATTGTCCAGTAGTAAGTGGGTGTGTCACTTGACATATAAATACCTCGAGTGAGTTCATTTTGACGTAAAGTAGTCAGGGAATCTCATCACCCATCTGTCCTAGCAACTCTTATCGGTAAGATCAGTTAACTTTTTGGTGTAAATCAAAGTACTTATAAGAAGAGATTAACTATTAACTATAACCATATTGCATCTTTTGAAAGGTACAAAATTTCAAACAAATGATCGTGTTTAATCTCATAATTAATATGTCTTAGATCGTTGCGTCACTGAAGGAAATGTCTCTCCGTGGGACTGCCGCGCTCCTGCTGTTCCTCGCGTGTCTTTCACAGCTCACCTTCGCTGCTGACAGCATTAGAGGAGCGAGAAAGAAAGGAAGGAGGCTGGAGAGCCGAGGTGATAAGAACATTTCCGTACTCAAAGGGTTTTTTAAAACCAAGAGCAAGGCGCAGTGCTTGTGGGAGGCGCGCGGAGAGGACAACTACACCATGACTGTTACATGTAAGCGTGGAGACGAGGATGGATTCAGCTGTAAATACACTGCCAAGCCCGCGACGTGCACCGAATATGGGTCTAATCTCTTGGGTTATTGGCACCAGATCACTAAATCGCTTAGAAGGCAGAAGAAACTTTGCGCGGATCCGCGCGCACTGATCCGCGCCGGCATGTGCAAGCGTGCGCCGCTGGACGCGCATTTCAAACTCATCGAAACGTCACAAGAGAAACCCCCCACAGAGAAAACACAGACAACCACGAACACAACGCGCCAGTGCACGGAGCGCACTGACCACAGCGAGGTCGCCAAAGAGATGTGCGGAGATTCCTGGGCGAGTCTCTGCGCGTTTGTCTTTACTATAATCCAGAGCGGAGACTGCTGAGCATGTGTATCATAAACGTTTCTCGGTACTTTTGTTATTGGACACGTCTGAGAGTTCTGTTTAAGGTGTAAAACATCACGTATTTTATTGTAAACACAGAAAAATGCACTGTTCTCATTCTGACATTTGGGAAGGTGAATCAAGATGCCAAGATGGAGTATTCGTTCCCACCACTTTAGGAGTAGTTTTTGACTTGACCGTAGTGGCACAAAATTTAATCTTAAAACATTTATTCAATGCGTATACAGTTTTTAATGTTGGCATTTCATTGGAGAATAGTGAGATGTCTCTTTATATTATGTTGGATATTAAAACTTTTTATTTATATTTATTAAAAGGGCATTTGAGGGATTTAGGCAAAGTAAATATGATGTTTTTACTTTGAAGTGAAAAGTTTCAGTAGACCCTTAGGGTACGATGACCCCCTCAGGGACTGAAGGACCCCAGTGGCTTTTTGTTGTTAGTATAAATTTCATGATTATCATAAATCAGTTGTTTTATATATAATTCAATGAGTTTGATTTTAACAAGGGGCATGATAGGCCCTTTAAATAATTTTAAATTTTGTGCTTTAACAGCTAAATTATTTCTAATAATAATAATAAATTGGATGATGCTTCATCCTCACTATCATCTTCATAATCATCTCGTTTTGATATCCATGTTAAACGTTTTCAGCAAATGTACATTATATTCGTCAGTCTACTGTAAAATACAATGACACCCATTGTATTGCATTGTATATATTTATGACATGCAAAATAAATATGTTTATATATCTGTGTTAAGAGGTATTACCCCGTACTTGTGAAATGGCCACAAGATATTTTATTACAATATAAGCTTGATTTTTAAAATACAGTTTTGAGGCAGAGATGCTTAACAAATACAGCATTTTTATTTGGGAATTTTGAAGTGATATAAATTAAAACCACGCAAATAGCAAAAGATGAGCCTAACAGGAGATAAACCTTATCCTAAGTTTAGCTATAAGAACCTTCCTATTCCTGGAACGCTTTTGAGGAAGTTGTCAGAACCTAATATTCTAAAAACCCTCCCACTCACTCACTCACTTTCATTGTCTGTGGAGCAATGGAAGAGATAAGATAACCACAGATTCCAAACAGGTCTCTCTCTCTCTCTGTGTGTGTGTGTGTGTGTACTGGTATTACCTATGTTATGGAGACCAAATATCCCCAGAAGGACAGTAATACCAGTACATTTTTGACCTTGTGGGGACATTTTTTTGGTCCTCATGAGGAAAACAGGTTATAAATCATACAGAATGAAGTGTTTTGAAAATCTAAAAATGCCTGTAGTTTTGTTTGTGGGGTAGGCTTAGGGTAAGGGTAGAGAAAATACAGTGTGTACAGTATAAAAACCATTATGCCTATGGAATGAACCCATAAAACATGGAAATACAACGTTTGTGTGTGTGTGTGTGTGTGTCTGGTGCACCTCACATATTACACTTCACAGTGTGTGCTGTTCCTTTCATCAGTTTCACATCCAGTCTTACACAAAGTCTTTGGAAATGTGTCTACTGTATATGTGTTTAAAGGCTTGGCTATTGATTAGGCTGGACAGTTTCGGTTTTATATGATTTTTTATTATTTTATAAAGGAACAAGAGTGTTTTAGAATAAAGGTACCTTTTTAAAATCATTACTTTTAGAAATCATGTTTGAAAACACTTTTACACTAATGCACTGCAGCTATGTGTATAATAAGTCTCTGTCAGTGGAAAGCACATGCATACATCTTGTTCACATTTACTTCCTACTGACTTGACATTGATATAATTCTTAAAGAAACAGTTCACCCAAAAATGAGGGTGAGTAAACAAGGACAGAATTTTCAGTTTAGGGTGCCTAAAATTTAATTTGAATAAAGTTAATAAATCTATACTTTTTATATTACTATTTCACAACCCTACCCCTAACAGACACCTTTTGGCACATTTCAATTTTTAAATATCTATTATATATAAAAATGTATAAACCTTCAGTATGATGAAGACAAATAGATTTGACCTGCTGTCTATGATAGAGTAAAATAACGACTTTGTATGCTGTATAACAAGGGTCTAATACGAGTACTACCATTTGTTAGAATGACTGTAAGTTCAAATAAATCTTACGAGTATTTGCCCACACATTCACAAGAACACGTGAGCACATTTTCTGACTGGCTGATACTTTGGATCATATCATGCCCACAGCCAATAAGAAGTACTCAACATCTGATATCAGTTCCTGCTGTCTTTCTTTCTATCGTTCCCACACACGCCCAAAATAATATTTCGATTGAGAACATGATACGTTACAGTTTGTGTGATCACATCACACCACATTCCACTCCAACATCTACACAGTTAACGGTCAAAGTTTAAAATCATGTCATCATGCAATCAAGACCAAGTTTTTGGACCTTGCCATTTTGGCAAGATGTATTTTTATTTTATTTCTTTAAATATATCTTGTCCGCCTGTGACATTTGCATTATGAATACAGTGGGGAAAAAAAGTATTTAGTCAGCCACCAATTGTGCAAGTTCTCCCACTTAAAAAGATGAGAGAGGCCTGTAATTTTCATCATAGGTATACCTCAACTATGAGAGACAAAATGAGAAAATAAAATCCAGAAAATCACATTGTAGGATTTTTAAAGAATTTATTTGCAAATTATGGTGGAAAATAAGTATTTGGTCAATAACAAAATTTCATCTCAATACTTTGTTATATACCCTTTGTTGGCAATGACAGAGGTCAAACGTTTTCTGTAAGTCTTCACAAGGTTTTCACACACTCGTTGCCCGGGCGGTGTGTTTGGGATCATTGTCATGCTGAAAGACCCAGCCACGTTTCATCTTCAATGCCCTTGCTGATGGAAGGAGGTTTTCACTCAAAATCTCATGATACATGGCCCCATTCATTCTTTCGTTTACACGGATCAGTCGTCCTGGTCCCTTTGCAGAAAAACAGCCCCAAAGCATGATGTTTCCACCCCCATGCTTCACAGTAGGTATGGTGTTCTTTGGATGCAACTCAGCATTCTTTCTCCTCCAAACACGACAAGTTGAGTTTTTACCAAAAAGTTCTATTTTGGTTTCATCTGACCATATGACATTCTCCCAATCCTCTTCTGGATCATCCAAATGCTCTCTAGCAAACTTCAGACGGGCCTGGACATGTACTGGCTTAAGCAGGGGGACACGTCTGGCACTGCAGGATTTGAGTCCCTGGCGGCGCAGTGTGTTACTGATGGTAGCCTTTGTTACTTTGGTCCCAGCTCTCTGCAGGTCATTCACTAGGTTCCCCCGTGTGGTTCTGGGATTTTTGCTCACAGTTCTTGTGATCATTTTGACCCCATGGGGTGAGATCTTGCGTGGAGCCCCTGATCGAGGGGGATTATCAGTGGTCTTGAATGACTTCCATTTTCTAATAATTTCTCCTACAGTTGATTTCTTCACACCAAGCTGCTTACCTATTGCAGATTCAGTCTTGCCAGCCTGGTGCAGGTCTACAATTTTTTTTTCTGGTGTCCTTTGACAGCTCTTTGGTCTTGGCCATGGTGGGGTTTGGAGTGTGACTGTTTGAGGTTTTGGACAGGTGTCTTTTATACTGATAATGAGTTCAAACAGATGCCATTAATACAGGTAACGAGTGGAGGACAGAGGAGCCTCTTAAAGAAGAAGTTACAGGTCTGTGAGAGCCAGAAATCTTGCTTGTTTGTAGGTGACCAAATACTTATTTTACCGAGGAATTTACCAATTAATTCTTTAAAAATCCTACAATGTGATTTTCTTTTCTCATTTTGTCTCTCATAGTTGAGGTATACCTATGATGAAAATTACAGGCCTCTCTCATGTTTTTAAGTGGGAGAACTTGCACAATTGGTGGCTGACTAAATACTTTTTTGCCCCACTGTATGTGAAATATTATTACAAATTACAATAACTGTATTCTATTTGAATATATTTTAAACTGTAATTTATTCCTGTGATCAAATCTGAATTTTTTTCAGCATCATTGCTCCAGTCTTCAGTGTCACATGATCTTCAGAAATCATTCTAATATGCTGCTTTGGTGCTCAAGAAACTTTTCTGATTATTATCAATGTTGAATATGGTTGTAGCGCATAGTATGTTTGTTGAAACTGTGATACATTTTTTTCCAGGATTCTTTGATGACCAAATAGAAAGTTCCAATATAGAAAGTTCAAAACAACAGCAGTTTGTTTGTTTGTTTGTAACAAAGCCTTTACTGTCACTTTTGATCTTATGGACCTAAACCAAAGTGTGAGTCATACTTAATTACATTGGCAAATAAATACATTGGTAAAGTATTAACATGTAAGTGAACCAAACTAAAATTGAGATGAACAGAGGTGAATCTTATAATATATGAGCTCTTTTAACATTAGGATAAATTCTATAATGTCTTCAAGCCAAAAGAACAGTCCGAGAGGAACACAGTGAACCTCTCATATATCAAATACAGGTCAGACATCAGTGTGTGTGTTTGTGTGTAAAGGGAAGGTTCAAGTCTATTCAAGTTGCAGCTCAAACAGACCCAGGCATTCACTGGAAGGGAACAGACTCGTAGCACACACATATTTGCGAATACGTGAGTGTGTTCTCTTCCATTCAAAGATCATGTTCTTACATGACTACTGTTGCACCTGGGCTGCGGGAAGATATCAAAGTCGTACAAATTCCGTAAAAGGAGGGGTTTACCTTCACACAAACAGACGCATGAGGGCATCCACAAAGTTTACACAAATACTGAATATATACATCTCCAAATGTCACGAATGCATTCATAACAACACAGATATATTGTATCATGACCTAAAAACTGCCATCATACAGCCTTCATTTATCATGACAGTAGTGTGCACAGATGCAGACACATGGGAGATGTGTTTTGTTTGGTGGGCTGGGTTTAACATTCATTGTTCCTTTGTGTGGCACGAGGTGGCCTGACAGTCCCACCCCTGAATTCAGACAGTCCTATTGGCCGATATCCCACACCTATTTGGTACAACTTCTGCTCCTCTCTATTGGCTGAGGGTGGCTGTGACATACATAAGGGTCTAGAATCAAAACTAGTCTCCATGAAACTTACTCAGCAGACAAACTTTAAAGCACACATACAAAACCAGAACTAAATAATTTCTTGTATATGACCCCGATTTCTTTGAAGACAGGTGTCTACACTTGCAGGACATCCTCCAATATGCCTTTAGTGATACAAGGAAGAATTACAAGCAGACTGTCAATTTAACTGGAAATGTATCTTACAGTAGCTTGCCAGGGGAAAAGTATATGGCATTATGATCCTTACTTTATTATAAACAGGACCATTATTAGAGCATATTGCATTTTCTGACTATTGAACTATATGCATGAATGACTATATAACAATCATAAAATCAATCTATAAACAAGCTACATGTAATGTAGTCGCAAACTGGTATGCATTAATCATCTAATTTCTTAATTATTTCACACAGTAGGCTATTTGGGGTCTGCTCTACAGTTCATTCTTTGACTACAGCGCCTCCCTGTGGCCAATACTGACCTACAGCGCACTAAAAGTCATTCATTGAAAAACTAAGTATTTTTCACTTCCACGTTTTAACTTTCCACATTCAGCTTTCACTTTAACA